TATTACTCTATATATTTATTATATATAGTCCTCGAGCGCTTTTCTTTTCTAAATAATCGAGTATATAGTATTCGGACTTACTATATTTATAGTATAGATTTTCCTTTCTTTATTTTTCTTTCTCTTAATTTTCCTCTTTTATAATTTTTCGCTTTATATTTCGGCTTCTATCTAGGCTTATTCGTCGAGTATTATAACGTTCTATCGCGTTTAAGTCTATAGAGTTTCTATAGTCTCGTAGGTATTTCGTATTAACTTAGAAAAAATATCGATATCCTCGATATCCTCGTCTTTCTAAGCTTCTTCCTTAATTTACTTCTATACGAAGTTTATATAGTTAATTATTAAGCTCGATAGCCTTATCTACTATCTTTTTATATATTTCTAGGCGCTCTATTATTTCCTTCCTAATTTCCTTCTTTAATCTATTATAGAATATATTCTTAAAGATATTATCGTTTATATACTCTAGTTTCTTTACTAGCTTCTTAAATTCCGAATAATAATTAGCTATAGATTCTATTTATTTAAGGGTATATATAGTACGAGAGGCTACTATAGTCTTATTAATTATACTATAAATTTATTTAATTATTTCTTCGAACTATATAAAGTTTCTAAAGTATACCTTAATTTTATCGTCGAAGCTAGAGGACTTAAGGTAGTTATTCTATACTAGTTTAAACTAATAGAACGCTACTCCTTTAAGGTATATTACTACGAATATAACCTTATTTTCTATCCTAGTATACTTAGTTAGGTTAAGCTTAAAGATAGTCTTAAGTTATATAAGGAAGTATTCTAGCTTCTCTCTATTTTCGTAGAATAATTCTACCTTAATACTATTCCTAGATATATTAATAAGTCCTAGTACGTTAATTATATCTACGTTTAAGTCTTCGTTAGAACTACTATCTTAAACGATCTTATTCTTTAAAGAATTATTTAAGGCTATAAGTAGATATACGCTAGATAGTAGGGATTTAATTCGAGATAATCCTACGTTAAATATTTAAGATTAATTAAGTAGTAGTTAAAGTATTATAATTCGAGCTATAAATAGTTCTAACTAAGGTAGGGTTTCTTAATAGAGTAAGTACTAGAGTATTAACTAGGATAATAAAGGGAATACTTATTCGTCGGACTATATTCTAAAATATAGGTATAGAATTACTAACGAAGTTAACTACGAACTATACTATCTAGGTAAAAGAGCGTATATATATAATATTTAAAGTACTACTTTAGTGTATTATTATAATAGAAGTAATATAGTAATGTAGTAATGTATTCCCTAGTTATAGGCTACGTAACGGGTTAGGCTAAACCTAGTTAAAAACCCGGAACCTAACCTAATAGGGTTAAATTAATTAGGTTTCTAAAATAGCTAAAAACCTAACGGGTTTTTTAATCGGGTTAAAAAAAAAGAGGATAGAGTTTAAAACCTAATAGGGCTACTAAGAGTTACTAAAAATAGACTATTTTTAAGAAAAATAGAAATAATTACTATAAATAGTATATTTTTTACTAAAAATAGTAATAATCTAAGTAATAATCTCTATTTTTAGTAATTTAGGCTGCTAAGACTAAACCTAATAGGAGTATAAACCCTATTAGGTTTTTAGTTAATCGGGTTTTTATAAGGACTAAAAACCCTATAGGGCTTTTTACTCGGGTTATAAAAGGTCTACGGATTGTCTAACCTAACCCGTTGCGCAGCCTACCTAGTTACGTAATATAGCCTCGTTCTCCATCGGCTAACCTTCCTTAAACTATCCCTTAGAACGTGGGGCGCCTATCCCGGCGACCTTATCTATAACCTAGTTCGTAATACCTATATAGATAATACGAGAGCTAATAGAGCTAATAACTTCTTCGTAGCTTTAGTTTCTATTATCTTACGGTAATAGTCCTAAGTAAGCTTAGAATCTATCTAAATACCTAGATACCGATAGGAGGATAAAGCCTCGATAACGGCTTATAGGAGGTAGAGCGGATAGGTAGTATTAGCCTACGAATCTCTACTAAAATATACTAATTCGTATTTCGTAGTACGAATTAAGAGCCGTATCTTAATACCTATTTCTCGGCCTATCGATAACGTAGTTTTAGTGCTTTATAGTTATATTATACTATTAGTTTCGTTACGAGAATAGTAACGTCGTCGATATAGCCTACGGCCTCGGTATCCTTAGTCTTATATACGTTAATAAGGTTAGCGTTATAAAAGAGATATAGTACGGGCGAGAGCGGGGAATCCTAAGAAATACTAGTCTTAATAGGTATCGATAGTATCGTATACTCTTAAAGCTTAAGTATCGTCGATCGACTACGAAGAAAGGAGTTAATCTATCGTACTAGTATATAGTTAATTCGTCGTTTCCTAAGGTTATATAATAGTCTTAGTCGAGAGATATTATTAAAGGCTCCGGATACGTCGAGTAGTAGTAGCGATGCTATCTTCCCTTTCGACTACGCGCGATAAATACGTTAGAGAAGAAGGTAGATAGCGTAGTCGGTCGACACTAGCTTTCTCCCTCTAGTATATTACCTAGGGAGTAAATAGTAGGTATCTACTAGGTAAGCTAGTCGATTAGCGACGATAGCTTCTAGCGCCTTTCCGAGTATATTAAGGAGAGCGATTAGCTAGTACGACTTAGGCTATATATAGTCGTCCTTGTCGAGTTTTCGGAGAACTATCGTAGTACTCTATTAAAGTATATAGAGTAGTATCCTTACTAAAGATAGGCGTTAAAAAGGCCGTAAAGAATCGGTAAAATAATATTAAGCGTCTAGTAGAGAATAACGTTTAGAATACTATCGATACCTAGGGCCCTATTAGATATAGCTATAAGGGTTTAGCTAGGAATTTAGAGTAATTCGTCTAACTACCGTATAACGAGGATTCTAAAGCTAAGGAGAGAAAAAAAAGAGAAAATCTATCTACTATACGAATAAAGGAAATACTTTCTACCCTCTCCTATAGTAGATTAGTATAGTTTTCTAGGAGATAATTAATAGGAAGGAGTTATATAGCTTCGGCTATATAGTTATATAGCCTAAAGATATACTACGAGTAATCGTTCTAAGGCGTACTCTAGAGCTTTATAAAGGTTTAATTCGTAATATTATTCTCCTCTTCTCCTCGTACGACGCTAAGAAGCCGCTACTTCTAATAGAGACTAGTCGGGCGTCGAGTAGCGTATAAAGTAAAATTCTTATCTCTATTTACTTTTATCCTACTTTTTCTTCTCTTATACTAATTATCGAGAAAGTTTTATAAGTACTTATCTCTACTCCTATTACGTACGATTATTAGCTATTACTAATTCTCGTACGCTAATAGTCGATATAGTAAATAAGTAAGCGAACTAATCTATTTCCTCTTCTTAAATCTACCTTCTATACTCTAAGCCCTAGACTTCCTCGTTTAGTCGTACGTACTAATAGAAGAATAAAAAAGTTAAGAGAATATAGTATTAGTAGTGTAGGACGCCGCTATGGCTTAGCGTTAGTTAGAGTAGCTCGCGCTAACTTAAATTCCTATTTTTCTTGCCTCCGAGTAGTCGCTAGTATCGTACTACTATAATACTTCTTAACGAGCGGTCTTAGCTATACTAGAAACTATCCGGAGGATAAGTTTTAGGATCTATAGTAGAAGTAGCCGAAGACCGTAGAAAGAAGGAGTAGAATATATAGTTACTTTCTATCTTATTAAATAACTTAAGATCTATCTAAGTAAAGGAGTATAGGCCTATTTTATATAGGCGTAGGCTTCGTTATAATATCTCGTAAGTACGAGAGTAATTACCGAGTATTCATAAATACGAGTTAACTCCTAGGATACTTAGAAATTAAGTTAAGTAATTTCTAATCCTATAGAATAGAATAGCGTTTTATAGAATCTTTCGTAAGGCTTAAGTATAGCCTTACTAAATAGATACTACGTAATCCTAGCTTATATAAGCCTAATCACGTGACTAGGCGTTAATAGGGTATCGCTTAGTCTTAATAATCGCTAACCTAGAACTATAGCGCTTATTACCCCGTACGATTTATAGCTTCCTCTTACTTCTACTAGATAACTACTATTAATATTTAGGCCTATTCTCTCGCTTTTTATAGCTATTATACGATTTCTTCTTCTTACTCGATAGAACTTCTAGGAGTAGTAATTAGTCGTATAACGTTCGTTAGTCGAATCGTCTTAATATAGTATTTATAACTAAGGAAGAAGGGACTTATTCTCGTTAATTAAGCGTCGTAATTATTAATCGCTAACTCGACTATTAGAAGTACTACTACCTAATTATTCTATACTCTACTAATATATATATATAGATATATTTCGACTATCTAGTTTATATATTTCGTTAATTCGTCTATCTATAGATAAAAAGCTATTAATAATCGTCGTATAATACTTATTAGTTTATAAAACTATATCTAAAGAGCTCCTATAAACTAGGAGCCTCGATTCGTAACGATTATCGCTAGTAGATCGTATTATCGATAGAACGTACGAAGGAATACTCTTACTACGTCTTCTACCTCGATTAAGCGTATTCCTTCGAGGATTACTTCCTTTCCTAGTCGATTTATAATTACTAGGAGGTTCGTATACTCCTCGCTCTTAGAAAGTTTAGTAATAAAGTTTATTAATATTTCGCGCTATACTTAGTTTAGTATAAAGAGACGCATCCTACTAAGGTAGTAGATGTTAAAGGATTAAATTACAGCTAGAAACGCCACTTATTAGCGCCGGGAGGAACCATCTTGCTTGGCTAGCCGCACGCGCACACAAGTACAAGCTCACTTCCCCGCTCTCCATTTTGACATTCGTTTGACTGACCGATATTGCTGACCATAGGCCACTCTCTTACGCCTATCGAAAGTACTTTCGTTCACCTTTAACCACGTCTCATTACTAACCTTGCGCTACATTGATTAGCTTCTAACACCAACAGGGATTTCACCGTCACTCGTTCAAACCCGTGGCCATGGATCATCCCGAATCTCGTCTGGCGGAGACGGCCGAGGAGCTGAGCACAGCACTCCAGCCCGCATTAGTCGCCAATGTACGCTTCCTTTGTTCCTCATCTTACCTTATCAATGTAAATCATAGTTGATACATTGTCTAGACCAACCAGAGCGACGTCGACTCCGCCTATGGTGCATCAGTTAATGGAGCAATGACTGCTTCTCTAGCCAGCTCGGTTCTAAACTACAGATACGAAAATGGCCGACGCTATCATGCATACCGAGATGGCCAATACCACTTACCCAACGACGAAAGCGAGCAGGCTCGGCTTGATATGCTGCATCATATCTTCGTACTTGTTCTTGATGGTGCATTGTATCGTGCCCCGTTGTGCCATCACGGTCAACCACAGCGAGTTTTGGATCTTGGTTGTGGCACTGGGCTTTGGTGTATGCAGTTTGCAGACGAGTTTCCCGAATCCCTCGTCCTCGGCACTGATCTTAGTCCCATCCAACCAAACTGGGTTCCTCCTAACTGTAGATTCTATGTGGATGATATCGAGAGTGAATGGACTTACTCTCCTGGAGAGCACTTCGACTTCATTCATGGTCGAGCGCTATGCGGAAGTATTGCGGACTGGCATAGGCTGTTCACCCAGTCACTTGCTAATCTCAAGCCCGGAGGTTGGATAGAAATGCAAGAGTTCTTCTGCAAAGTCTATAGCATTGATGACAACATCGACAACGCCCCTTACCTCAAAGAGTGGGAGGAGCAAATAAACGAAGCCAGCAGGAGATTCGGTAAGGAACTCGCAAAGGCTAATGTTCTAAAGCGATACATGGAAGACGTTGGCTTCGTCGATGTCCGCGAGGAGATCTACAAAGTACCGATTGGGCCCTGGGCTTGGGGCAAGAAGTTCAAGGAACTGGGGATTTATTCCCTCGCACAGTTTCTTGATTCCGTTGAGCCTTTCTCGCTAGCTTTATTTACTAGAATGCTTGAGTATACGGCTGACGAGACCATGACTATCATTGCTAGGGTCAAGAATGATTTGGTTAATCCGAAGTTGCATACATATTTGCACTTTCATTTTGTTTGGGGTAGAAAGGCCGATGGACCAGAATGAAGTGATGAGGGAGGCTATGCTAAGGAAACAGGTCGGAGACACCTCTACAAGTCAACTCACGACAGAGAAAGATAAGGCAGAAACCCACTGCGGACAGCCACCGGAGCAATCAACCATTACGGCGCCTGCCACTCTACCTCCTGGCGGACTCAAGACATTCACTTCAGCTGGAGATAATCCCCGAATAGCTCTCTTCCATAGTTCCTTCGCGGGTATCAAACACCATTTTTGAGGATAACGGCTCTGTTAGCGACGAAATGCATGCCCCAGATGCCGATTCCGCCCATAGTGATTGCCGATGCTAGGAGGAGGGTCCTGTCGACGACGTTTAGCAAATGGCGATCAATCGGGAGCAGCACGAGATACCAATTGTAGACACCCCGTGTCGAGGTGCGACGCTTCAGCAGCTCCAACGTCGTAATGCATTCCACCGCGGATGTAAAGAAGGAGAGAACTATATAGCCGGCGTCATAGGAAACGGCAGTCTTGACGATGTCTGCATATTTAAGGTAGTCTCGATTAAATCATTCTAGAAGTTTGCGCTCTTAATGCCTATATGATGTGAATGTTCGTAATGCCCCCCCCCCCCCCCCAAAAAAGGCCCAGGATGAAATGCTAGACGCAAGTGACTAGAGGTAGATGTAGCAGAACGGTCCTGCTGTCGTGGACATTAAATCTCTCAGTTTGACGACTTGATTAGTCACCCATGGAATTTCAATCGTTGTGTCGAAGGTCTGCGGAGGGCTTGGTGGCAAGTTCAAGAAGGTGCCCGTGCCGTTGAGAGCGTTATTGCCATACACTCTGTTTTTTGTGTCGAGCATCTGCCAGATCCACCATGCACGATCAATACCGCCGTGGTGCAAGAAGAACATTGGATCAGACGGCGAGACACCAACATCGCGACCTGGATCACCACCCAGAGTGTAATGAGGACCACCGTGAATGCCGATGTCGCCGTTCACGAGGTCGAGGTTGCCTTGCATTCTGGCCTGGAAATTGACGATAGTCTTTTCAGCGAGTGTCCTCAGCACCGAGGTAGCATTGGCGTAGCGCTTGTTGATATAATCAGTCAAGTCACGCTTGAGACAGCGAGGGTTGTAGTCAAGAGGATTGCCCGATGGAGGGCCGACAACAGCTCCTCCAGGCAGGGAGAGTTGTTGGGGTCCGAGGTTTACCTTCCAGTCCTTGAACGGTCCTGACTTAATACAGCCACCGCCATTACCAAGTGGTAGGTGGATCGTAGGAAGCGTTGGTTGAGATACAATGATCTCGCCGCTCTGCTCGACCTTGGCCCCATCACCGCTCATTGAGTACTCTGACCCGTCAAAAAGAGGGTGATTCTGCAAGCCAGTTATAGCGGTTTGCGCCCAGTCTATTATATGTCAGTGGCTGTGGCTGGATAAAGACGTGGACAACTGACCCCAATATGGCATAGGACCCCTGTAGCCGCATTCATTGCGCAGGGCATGTTCCATCTGATATACGAACCATCGATGCCATGACAAGAAGTTCCCAGTGAAGTGGATGAACGGCGTCTGTGCGATATGTGTTGCAGTGAAGTCCTAATCATGTTAGTGGGTGCCTCGGTCTGGATTCAGGAGTGGCACTAACATCCCATCGTGACTTGGCACCACCAGCAGAAGATGCTGGAGTCCTAGGTTGCTTAGAAGCCAGGCAGTTGCAAGCAGCTGTGTAGGCCTCCCTGTCCTGCTTTGACAGAGTGCTCCTGGCGGGTGGTCAGTCATGGTCGACAACTGCCGTGAAGGCTTCGGGTGGCTTACCACTCCCTCCTGATTGACAAGTTTTGCAGAGTGCAGCTACCTTCTACAGAGCGCTTTGATCCAGCGTTCGATGTAGCGTTCGATTCGGTGTCCGCCAATTCCCCCTTGGCAACTTCTTGAGCTTCCTGCAGGAGGGCTGCCAGCTGGCTATAGTCGTCGTCCCTAGGTGTAGCAGCGCATAATGCTTGCACCACCAACAACATGCTAAGGGAGATGGAAGAGATCCTCATTGTGGCGAATAACTAAGTAGGATGTAAGAGAAAAGAGATGGTGGTCGTGATCAGGAGTCGAGACCCTGATGAGAATTATCTCAATAAGTATAGCTGGCCACGAGGGACTGAGCACCTAGTTTATCACTGCAGAAAGCAGATTGGTTGTAATTTAATTGCCGAATCAGACCCTCGAAATTAGTGAATTTATCGAGCTCGGTAAAAACGCCTAGTGTCCGAACAGAATTGGAAAGATATGCGCTAACAAGCAAGTGAGGCTGCGGGCACACTAGGGAGTAGCTTGCATGTCTTAGTTCCCCGAGTCCTTAACGCAGTCGCGATGATCTGCAAGTGGCAAAGAATTCTGCTCGGCCTGAAGACGGGGCCAGGGTTAGTCGAACGCTCTTAAACACTCAGTAATTGCAAGCGACATGGCCTTGAGGCTAACAGACGCAGACGGTAGAGTGTGGTGAAACTCACTGGCGGCAGGATGATCATTAAATGCATATTAACGGTATTCTATAGCTTCTTTGCTAGAGAAGGAGATTATGTAGTGGGAAAACACTTAGTTGGGAACTTGGAATGAATGGGAGCAGCTTAGTCCTGGATCCCATTGTTTAATTGCAATCAGACAATCGACCCCACGTGGAAATCAGGGTGGCAGCATTCGTATCAAGCTCTATGCCGAGATACTTCTAGTGGTGAAAGTGGCCAACTCAAGGAAGCAAGAATTAGCGTTATTGTAAATACGAGTGAGTTGGTCCGTCGAGAGGATCGCACGAGAGTGGAGTCATTCTACACGCCCCGGCAAGAGTTTTGCCCCGTGCTTTCATCGCATGAATATGCCGTTCTGTCTGAACTAGTTGTGCATTTCACACTGCTATGATTCGCATGTTGAGAATATGCCAGTGCAGTGTACCTGCATATCTGAGCGAGACACAAAGAGCTCGTGGCATTGCAATTATCTAAGTCTCTTCTACTACCCACCTCTGCAAAGGATGCAGAGTCAGGAGTAGCAATCTTGCGAATACTGTACATACCCTAGGTACTTGCTAGCATGGAGAGAAGCGGAAGTTGCCGACATGGGACTAACGGCGAGGCGATGTTGAGGCTACAGGAGAAACGATGCCACACGTGAGTTAAGCATTGGCATCTAGATAGAACCAATCGGGGGAAGATTCCGAACAACCCGGTATCAAGGATTGCAGCTAAAACAGTTAGCATGCATTACCCCCAGGCACAGCAGCATGCACTGTCAGGGTCTTACTCCGGGAGGTCACGACCTTGCATGGTACCCTTAGGTGAGGATCTCTCAGCACGAAACGTTCGCTTACTTAGGGTCTACAATATCTTCCTCTGATATGAGTTTTATGCTTCTTTCTTCAGATCGTTTCTCCGCAGATCACTAACTAGCGTAAGGACTCGCCTCTGCATATCGCGAATTGTTGATGGGCTATGGCGGCCCCAAACCCTCCACTACTTCCTTCGAACCCAGATGAGAATGCTGGCCCCCAGATACTCGGAGCCACACTGGCAACAACCTGTCTTGCCCTTCTGACGGTCATTGCTAGGTTCTACGTCCGAACCTTCATGGTGAAGGCATTAGGATGGGACGATCTCTTCATGGCGTTGGCCATGGCAGTCGCAAGTAGCCAATTCTGTCTGATCTGAATGATACTGCTAATTGCTGCACCAGTCTATAACTACTGGAGTGTTCATCGCCCTCTCCGTGAAATATGGCGCGGGCCAGCAGTAGGTATCACCGGATTCCTGCTCTGTAGAGCATTACAAGCTTACAGAGCACTAGTATTGGTGATCTCCTACCGGGCATATATCAGAAAGGAATGAAGCTGAATTTCATCTCACAACCCCTACTGATGTGGGGCGTCTGCATCGTGAAGCTCTCAGTCGGGTGTGCTTTATTGAGGATTGCAACACAGAAGCGGTGGAGATGGAGTATCAAGGGCATTATGATATTTATGGTTCTATACACTATTGGCTCCTTTATAGTAAGCACAAATGCGGATCGTGATTGCGGATGCACTAAAATTCGCAGACACTCTTCACTCAATGCAAACAAGTCGCCATGCAATGGGATCCTACGATTCCTCGAAATTGCTGGACTCCGGAGACCTTGCAAGCCTTGGCTTTCACCCACGCAGCACTCAACATCGTGACTGATTTTGTGTTCGCTGTGGTGATACCAATCCCGATATTGTGGGCCCTCCAAATGAACAAAAGAACGAAGGCTGCTGTCATGATCATGCTGTCGCTGGGTCTGTTCGTCTGCTTGGCCGGTATATTGCGAATTCCAACTATCGTCAATTATGGGAAGGCGGGAGACTTCCTTTGGGACAGCAGGGGTTTGTCTATCTGGTTCGTTGCGGAATTCAACACCGGAATCATCGCAGGAAGTATGCCTGCACTTAAGCCTCTTTTTAAGACCATTTTTGACAGCACATATTTTAAGGGTTTGACCCAAAGATATGGCTACGGGAATAATTCAGGTGCAGCCGGAAGTCACCAACGATCATTCTCAGCAAAAGGCTTCAACAATCTACGCAACAAGGAACGATTGGACTCGCATGATCAGTTTGATGATGTTGATGGCTCCTTGAGCCAGCGCGGTCTTGTCTTGGAGAATAAACCTATTGCTCTGGGTGTGATCGAAAAGAATGTTATCACTACCGTTACCCAAATGGATCAACCGACCGCGCCAAACACGAAGAGATATGTATGGAATGAGTAATTTACAGAGGTCCGGTCCAGTTATGTATGAACTTATGTATGAATAGGTAGTATAGCACATGAATGAGAACATCAGTGTACTTTTCTTTTGCTTTCATCCTAGACAAAGATAATACCTCACTAGAGAGATCTCTATTTACCATTATCCAAAAACTAACCTAGGTTAAAGGACTCGACTTAATATATAGATTCTAGAGTCTATCCCTTGAGCGGCTACGGTGGGACCTTTTTTGTTTACTCCTTGAGGAAAGCCATATAAGAATCTACTCACGATCCCTACAATCGCTAAGACATTATAAACCTTGGCACAAATTAGGCACGAGAATTTCAAATTTACATAATTCGAATAGCTTAACAAATTGCTTAGCTTTCTAGTATTACGACGAATGTATTTTAAGTTTTGACTGCCAAGAAGCTAATTTACGCCTATGGCTAGGCGAATATCCCGGTCGATCATTAAGTTTTCCTTGTAAGTTACCATTATGTAACTAGTTTAGGCTAAGTAGAGTCGGGTCGGAGGAAGCCGATATAAATGGATAGTTACGCAAGTAAGTTTTATCTTCACAAGATTGGAAACATCTGGGATGTGGACCAAGTGAGTTGTAGTCCAAATCAGGATTTTAGGCATCCGGACCTAACCCTAGATAGAGGGGCACTTTATCTTAATTAGCCTTGGGATGGCCCAAATAAGAAATGCTCTTCAGAGAGATGGGTCAAGAGAAGGCGGACGCTTGCCTAAATAGGCATAGCCTCACATTGAGAAAGCGGGGAGAGTATGGTGCGTGGTATCACACTCCCTTTCGCTATCGGGGAGTCTACAGTAGACATCGCATCTTTCGGTTCCACCTTATCTCTACTATCCCAGTCTAAACTAGGCTTTCTCTATGATTCTCCCCCATTAGGTCGTCTACCAACTACGTAAACCCATATATACTAACTTCGGCCACTTCGTCTTCGTGCCTCCTCTCTCGTAGCCACTTCTCGTCCTTCAAACTCGTATAATATGGACTTTCCCCTCGGGGATTTCTGCTTGACCTGCGACCGACGGACTAACGGCGCTACATTCTGTTCCCTTCCTTACCGGCTTAAACAACTAGACTATTTTAACCTTACTGAATCGACACTATACTCGTTAATCTCCTTCTCGACAGCTAGATTCTACCTTCCACCGGCTTATAACTTCTCGATACACCGCCCCTTATCTTCTAAGCCCTTACCTATATCTAAATCCCTATCTAAGTAGGCACAAGACGACCTTAAATACTACGTCGACGCCTTTAATTAGAACAGGACAATTCGACGACGAGCCTCGACGCAGATCGATGACGTCTCCAAGACCTCTCCGATAGCATAAGACAATATACTGAATAGTATAAACGGACTACTACGAGAGGCGATATTTAAGGAAACCACGGTAACTTTCATCGTTTAATGGATACCAGCTGATCCATTCCCTCCTTCGATAGAACTATTTTCGGTGAAGTGGTGCGGATCTAACTCTTGAAATTTAACCCACCCTCCTGGCTCTAAATTACCGCGAAAGTTAGACGTGTTGTTAGAAAGATGCGAAAAATTCACTATGACTCTCCATCACTAAGTTGGGCTAGTTTCTAACATTAATATACGCCTGTTCCGTTCATCTAGACAGTTTAGGTCATGTAGGTATGACTGTCCACGACTTCCTTCAACCAGCGACTCAACCGCGACGTTCAAGAGAACTAAAGAAGAGACACTTGAATGCTGGCCACTAGAACACTTACTACCTAGGACCAGCGTCTGCCTTTTTAGGGCAGTCACCGTATTTAAAATTCAGTTACGGCAAAGTCTTGTTTGGAACACCGAGTCTAGCGCGTCAACGACTATTTAATATGCGAAGACACTCAGCGCCTTTTAATTATAAGCTTTCTAGTACAGGCCCTTGGAAGGTCTACATTGGGAAACTAGGCCGACTGATATAGCGCTAGACACTATAGTTCATCTGCACCTTTCTAGATATAAGAGAGAATCTCTTTATGTCGGCCCTTAGCGCTTATATCCCGACCGGCATAATGTTATAATTTTCGATAACCTCGCCTCATCGCCTTTTAGGCTCTTAAGAAATTCAATCACCCCTTGTAAAATCTTTAAACCTTACTACGTTCTAAATTCATCCTATTCGGAACTTTCCGTTCATTACATTAATAGATTTTTTGTTTAGTCTTTCGTTTATAGTTACGAGGATTTATTACAAAGCTTCCTATTGTCTAGGGCTATGTGGCGTCTACTTACGGTTAAAGACCCTCTACATAGCTAAATAGCCTTCTCCCTTTTAGTTACTAGTTACACTAAGTTAAACTTTTTTTTCCTCTTCAAGTGATACCTATTAGAAATGAGCCTTAGAAACTTAAACTAGGGTACGCATGTTTTAAATTAACCTCCTTGCCTCAGTAAATACGAAGGTGCACAACCCTTGTCGTCGGCACTACAATAAATAGTGTCTGCAAATATCTATCCTGAAATAGATGGGTGTGCTGCGTCCTGAATTCTCACTAGCCAGGGATTCTAAGTAGTAGTCTACTATGCCTTCGAACCTCTAATACTTACTAGACTTTGCTGCCCCCCGATAATGATAGGTGAGGCTACCTAGCGAATGGACGCGTGAGCGTTGGTCTAACCAAGCATCAGACTATAGAAGGCGTTAGTAAAAAATGGCTGGCGAAACTGGCGCTATATCGGTGTCTATACTAGTTACGATGGTTATCGCTGGCTTTTTTGCGATATTATTCTACAATTTCGTCTACATTAATATCAAGATCTTCCTAACTTTCAAACACCGTCGAGGTCTCTACTTCTAGTCTCTAATTGTTGCCTCCTGGGGTATCCTAGTGTATGCGACTGGATTTCTACTAAAGTTCTTTAAACTTGGAGGGCCGAAACTAATAGCTCTTGTCTTTATTATCAGCGGATGGTATTGCATGGTCACAGGCCAATTGGTGGTGCTGTACTCCCGCCTGCATCTTGTGGAACCGGATATTAAAAAGCTTCGATGGGTCCTCATTATGATCATGGTCGACTTCTTCCTACTGCACATTAGTATGACTGTCGTCTTTTTTGGTGCTAATTCTTCGCGTCCAGGGTCTTTTCTGAAGCCGTTTAAGATATACGAGAAGGTTCAGGTGACGGGATTTGCGCTTCAGGAGTTCATTATCTCTGGCTTGTACATTTATAAGACGTGGGACATGCTTAGACCTGCAGTCGACGACTGGAGTCGGAAGGCGCGCAGGATTATGATCCACCTCATTGCTATTAACATCATCATTATCATTATGGACATAACACTACTCGGAACCGAATATGCGGATCAATACTAAATCCAGACGCCCTACAAGGGTGCGCTCTATAGCATCAAGTTGATTATGGAGTTTAGCATTCTAGAATAACTTTGTGCTTATTTGAAAGAGAGGAATAATACCTAATTTGACTCAACTTCGACAAGATATCATGGTGGCACCTTCGCTGCAGGTAGCGATCGTTACTGCACTGCCTCTCCCTAAAGATTTGGCTTGGGCAGTGGTAAGTATATTAGAGTCGCTAAAATAGAGAGAGCAGCCCGCACAATAAGCTCATGAGGATTGAGCCGTCCGCAAATTATAACGAGGTGTAGAATGTAGTATAGATGAGAATAAGATTCCTGGGGCAAGAAAAACCGCCACTGCGTTTGTATATACGCTACTGTGCACGAAATGCGTTGTTGTGCTCACCATAGAAGTTGAGGAATTGCAGGTAGAAAAGTATAGGCTCGAGAAAGATGCTCGAAAGCCTGCTTATACGCGACGCGGTGACAGAAGTATATAGGTCCTAGAACCGGCGGCGTGCTAAGATTAGATTTCTTACTTGTGCAGCAGACGTTCTGTACACCCTCCTATAGAATAGTGAGCGTTGGTGTCAAAGTGTGGAAAATGAGTTTCATAAACCGTATGCCCTTTTAAGAAATAGTCGGACACGTGCCTATCCCGCAAAGCTTCGAATCACCGCTCAGGGCTGAGTAGCTTACAGCCTCCCCGGAAGTTCCAGCCCAAAGAATCCCGGAATTGGAGCCCCGGAAGCCTAGTAGCCCCACCTAGAGCGTTGCGCGGCAAGTTCCAGAGATCATTTCCGTTTAGCAAGCTATCTATCCGCTAGTTACTAAGCCTCTAACATTAATTCTAATGTCGCCTCGTAAAGTCGTAATCGTATTATAATCCGAGCTATAAGTAGTTCTAACTAAGGTAGGGTTCCTTAATAGAGTAGGTACTAGAGTAGTAACTAGGATAGACTAAGGGAATACTTATTCGTCGGACTATATCCTAAAATATAGGTATAGAATTACTAACGAAGTTAACTACGAACTATACTATCTAGGTAAAGGAGCGTATATATATAATACTAGTAGCTCTCTTAGATCTCGTAGCTTCCCTAGATCTCTTAAGATCCTATAGAATCTAGGGAATCTAGGAGATCTAGCCTTTCCTAGTTATATAACTTAGCCTCGTTCTCTATCGGCTAACTTCCTTCCTAGATAGGTACCTTAATTCCCTTAGCGACCTTTTAAGTAACCTAGTTCGTAATACTATTCTTCCCTCCTTTTAGTCGTTATTCTTAACGTACTTAAGGTAAGCCCTTTCTATATTTCTATTCGTTTCTTTCTCTATAGCTAACTATATCGCCTATAGGTATTATTAAACGTTCCGAGTCTTCTACTATTCGTCGCTAACGTACTACGCTTAAAATTAAAGTCCTTAGAAGGAAATACGAAGGTATAGGTCGTTATATTCCTTACTAGAACGCGAATATTATTTATTTTATATTAGATAGCTATACGCGTTATAATAATTATACGCGTAATAACCGAAAAGATTATAATAGAGTATTTTCTAATACTAAGTTTAAGGCCCTTTTAGCTAAGCGTAGCCGCTTAGCTAAGGCCGCTCGTTAGAAGGACGAAGAGATTCGTTAAAAGAGTAAGGAGATATAGCGTCTACTCTCTTCTATTACTTAGACTAACGCCGAGCGTAAGCGTTTCGAGAAGGAGGCCGAATAACTACTAGAGAAATAAAAGAAAATAGTTATTTAGGAGGCTTATACCTTAGACGCGCTAGATTATATTAACCCTCCGCCCTAGGCTTCCTCTACTATTTTAATTAGTATAGATAACGCTTAGCTTAAAGATATCTTTAATCTATCGTCGGGTTCCCTAGCCTACTTTCTAGGCCCTATTCCCTTAGATTATTCGGTAGTTCGGTAGTATCGGACTATAAGTTTCGGATTAAGGTTTATTCCTAGTTTCTAAGTATTTTCTTCTTTCGAATATCCTAACTATTTAATTAGGTATTCTATTTAATAGCCTTTCTACCTATATTAGAGTATAGTTTCTATATTATAATAGAGTTCCTAGGTTTCTTTATCGATATATACTAGTTCTAGTCTAGCTCCGTCTAGTACTTTTTTTAATAGCGATTTATAAAATACTAGGTATATATTTAATCCTCTTAGTAGTTATAACTTATACGAAACTAGTTCTAATATTTTCTTAATTCGGTATAGACTAATCTTCGTATAATTTAGTTTTTTACTTAGTCTTTATATTTTTATATTTTTTATATTAACGTAAACTATTTCTTCCTCCTAGAAGTCTAGTCCCTTAGATCTTTTCTTATTTACTATTTTTATAGTTATTTTTAATATTTTATCTAACTTTATCTTTAGTAGAAAGTATAATTTATATAAGTCTTCGACTTTTATCCTTATCTTTTTCGCTATAGGTCTATCGCCTAACGATTCTTTCTTAAAGTTTAGGTATCTTTCGTAGTTCGTAAAGAACGGCGATATTCCGATTACCGATATATTATTATTAAAAGCGAATTAAGCTATTAGTAATAGCTTAACCTAATTCTTTTATTAGTAGTCTATATAGTATCGTAGATATTATTCTATCGTTTAATTCGTTCTTTTCGTTTATTCGTTCGTTTATAGGTAGTATAATATAGATATCTTATATTTTATTCCTAGTAGGTCGGTTAACGATTACTAAAACTATAAATTAAATAGTTTATCTCTATTCGTAATAATAACTTCTAGTATTCTATATTATACAAATACTATTCTCGTAACTACGTATACTAGTTCCTCTACTATCGATACTTCTTTATATAATAGTAGGTAAATATATTTTATTAGTATATCGTTTATTATAAGTATACTATCGTAACTCGTACTTATTATAGGTTCCTTCGATAGTAGTAGCTTAACTATAAAGTCTATTACTATTCTTAACTATACTTTATCTATATTTTCCGCTAATTATAATAAGCTATATAGTTTATATCTTAAGTATTTAGCTTTATAGTATATATCGTAATTCTTAATATAATTCTTAACGTTTTTTCTTAGTTTCGTCTAGGTAAAATCTCGTATTATTAGTTCGATTATCTTATTAATATCTAGATATTCTATACTTTTATCGTTATACCTTACTTATATAATTCTCTACTTTTATTCTAGTATTAATTCTATTTTTAATATCGTAAGTATTCTTATTTTTATTTTTCTATATATTAAGTAATTTTTCTTTTTCTCTAGGAGCGCTATCGACTCCGACTCTAGTCCTTCTATATAGTTCGTTCTTCTACTAAGGGTATCGACTATAACGTTTTCTATTCCTCGAATATATATAATTTTAAAATTATAAGAGGCTAGAATTTTAGTCTATCTAACTTATCTTCTATTAAGTTCTTTAGTTATCGTTTAGTATATTAGATTTTTATAGTCTAAGTATATTTATACTAGATATTTAGCTTCCTCTAGGTATACTCTCTATATTTTTAGGTATTCTACTACTACGAGTAGTTCCTTATCGTAGATATCGTAATTTACCTCGGATCCGCTTAGCTTCCTTAAATAATATACTACTAGATAAAGCTTCTCTTATTCGTCTTTTTATTTAAGGTAGCCTCCTATTACTTTATTTAAGGCGTCTATTTCTACGATTACTTTCTTTTCTAGATTAAAAATATATAAGATTAGTATAGATATTATTCGTTACTTTAGCTCTTTAAAGGCGTTCTTATATTTTTCCCTAAAATCGAAGATTATTTCTTTCTTAGTTAAGTTAATAATTAGTACTACGATTTTTAAGAAGTTCTTAATAAACTTTCGGTAATAATTAATTAATTCGTAGAACGCCTATACTTCCTTAACTATTATTAGTTCTAGCTATTCTTTAATAGCTCGGACTTTCTCTTAGTTCGGTACGAGTCCTTTCGAAGATATAATATAGCCTAAGAATTTAATACTATTCTTATAGAATTCGTATTTAAATAGCTTAAGTAGAATTTTATTTTCCTTTAGCTTTTCTATTACTTTCTTTATATACTCTATATATTTCTTATAAGTCTTTAAGAAGATTAGAATATCGTCGAGATAAATAAGAATAAATATATCTAAATATTTTCTTAGAGTATTATTTATAAATTCTTAGAATATTAATAGTATATTAATAAGTCTAAAAGGTATAACTAGAAATTCGTAGATCTTCTATCTTATTCGGAATACCGTTTTCTATTCTTCTTCGTTAGCTATTCTAATTAGATAATAGGCGTTCCTAGTATCTAACGCTATAAACTATACGGCGCTTAAGAAATAATCTTATAGCTTATTCTATCGAAGAATAGAATAATAGTCCTTAATAGTTTTATCGTTAAGTAGTCTATAGTTAATATATAGTTATAGTAATCTATTCTTCTTTATTACGAAGAATATACTATAGAATATAAATCTATACTTTCCTATCTTTAGTTAACTTCTTCTTACTAAACTCTTTACTTCTAGTTTCTCGATATACTTCTTTAGGAAGTCTTCTTCTTTTTTCGAGAGTAATTTTAACTATTCCTTATAGTTAAGTACTTCTTCTTCTTTTATAAGTATTCGATAATCCTAAGGCTAATATTCTAGAAGTACTACTTTACCTTCCTTTTCTATAAATAGTTCTTTATATTTTATATATTTCGAAAGTAGCTCTTCGATATTAGTTTAGGCTAATATTCTACTTCTCGATCGTACTTATATCGCCTTTATAAAGGAAACCTTTAAAGATAATTAGTCTTTTATTTTTATTCTATAACTATAATTCGGAAATTCGAGTTCTTTTATTTTCTAGTTTATCTAGGAATTATATTTTTCTAGCTATTCTATTTTTAATATAGTATTATATTTTATCGCTATTATATCTAGGGTTATTCTTTCCTAATAAGTTCCTATTAGTAGTTCGACTTATTATAGTTCTTTTCTTATTTATTCGTCCTTAAACTCTATTAGCGACTCGTCTACTATTATA